CTGTTACATATTTTTACTTCAATTTCTACTTAAAAATTATACCTTTAAATATTTAAAACACTAACGGTTATATTTCGTAGTTATAATTTGGGGGCAATTTGTTAGGGGTAGGATCCTTGAATTGTATTCAGGATCCTCAAATACTTCAGAAGCCTCAGGATCCTTAAACATATCCTAGGGTCCTGATTATTACCACTAATATTTTTAACACTTTTAATGACTATATTTTCTTTGTTTTTCTCACATGTGTAGAACGAGTCAACACAAGACCCATTCTCAATGGAGAGTCATCTCAACCAAGCACAAGACCCGGAATACCAAGTCAAATAACGTTCATATGCTGATTCTAGAGGATCCCGAAATTATCAGACTTCTTGTTATTAGCATTAGACTATAAATAACACACTAGATACACTGAGCTCATCCACGATACTTGTACTTACATTTATACATTCATCTCTATAAATCAACATTTGATATCAATAAAATCATCAAGGCAAGTGATCGTTACCACCTCCCAAAGTTTTATGCCTAAGATCCTTGTAACTCACTTGTGTCACTTTGATTAACATTCCTTACTTGATTAAACACGAACATCATAACCTCTCATACAATTTCGTTAGATTCTACTTATTTGATTTTTGACCAAAACACTAGGTAATGATAATTAAACACAAGATTAAACCAACTTCATAAAATCCATGAAAAGTAAGAAAGTAACACATACTATTAGGGTTCATCCACACTAAACGAAAGCCTAATGATTTAGCTACTCATGACAGAAAATAAACACTAACATTCATAAGAATTAAACACGATTGATTTAATGCAAACCGAATGTAATGTGTAATCTTCAAATTCTTAATCTCCAATCGGTCTCTTCTTCCAAATGATGATTTTCTCAGGTCCTTGACTTATGAAATCGACTATCACTTCCAGGATATCATTTCAATCTCTCCATGTCGAATATGTCAAGGAGTATTTATAGTTTCCATAAAACAAATCTCATGTCGTGAGAATTAGGGTCTCACGTTGTGAGATCAATATGAATTTGCGCCTAACAAAGAAACTTGCATTACGCGTAATTATCTTATGGAACTTCCCTCATCACGACATGCGATTATAGTGCTCATGTCGTGAGCTTCGTCATTATGCGTATGATTGAGATTCTTCTAAGAGTCACATCGTGATATTCTCTAGCCATATCGTGGGGAGTGTTTTTGCTTGATTTTTCTTCATTTTAAGTTCCATTAAACTCCCAACTCATCTCCAATCCTTCCAGGTTTTAACTTTTGTCAGTTTTGGTCATTTTCCTTCAAGAATATCATTTTTGGCTTTAAAATGTAATTTAACTCAAGCAAGTACCAAATATCTTTGCTTTTAACCAAATTATTGCTTAAAATATATTAAAATAATGCCTAAAAGTATGCATACATATGACAATATGAATAAGGATGTTATCGATATGAGATACTTCCCGCTTCGATCTACTCCACCTCTAATGCATCAACATCAACAGGTTGCTATTGAAACTGAACACATAAATAATAACCATCATTTTAGAGTGCTATTAAGAGAAGAATACCTTATGCCTCCTATTTTTATTTTACAATGGAATAATTAAAGAAGACAGTGTGTTGTGGCATGGATTACCTCATACATACATCACATAAATCTATATGCACAATATTTAACTTCTAAGCGTAATTTTTATAGGTCTAAAGATGTAATATATGTTTGATATATGTAATCAAATTGTCGTTCAATACTTGTTGTGCTCAATAATATTAGTATTACAATATCTAAATATATTAAATAATATTTATATAATATACATATTTATAATGAAAAATCATAATAATATTAATATGTATTAAATAATATTTTAAAATAAAAGAAAAAGTAATTAAGAAAAGTAGATTAAATTCAAATTAAAAAACGCATGTCATTATGTTTCTCTTATATTTTCATTGTTATAAAATCTATAAATATTTATATTTTATTAATACAAATATTAAAAGAAAAGGGAGAAATTTGCTAAGCTAGCCAAAATCGGTAATGACTTTGTAAAAATTAGCAAAAAGAAAAAAAAAAGAAAAACAAAAAACAAAATTACACAAAATAGGTAACTAAGGTCCATTTGTGATTTTATTAGTCCATATGATATTTATTTTTATTGCATCTGCTATTTGCTCCACAATATATATATATATATATATATATATATATATATATATATATATATATATATATATATATATATATATATATATATATATATATACTAGCAGTGTACCCGCGCAAAGCGGCGGGGCGTGTAAATTCTTTCGGTGATATGTTTCCTTTACAAAAATGTTATTTTACAAAAGAAAGTACATGTCGAAGACAAAAATGTTATATATATATATACTAGCAGTGTACCCGCGCAAGTCATTTTTTGTTTCTGGACGGTGGACTTTATAGCAGAGGAGGGAACAAAGAGGTATATGCGATTGGAGGGATATTTGAATCAACATGCTAAATTTAAGGATATCTAAAAGGGTTCAAAATTTGAATGAATCCGGGATTTGAGGGAACCATATCAAATTGTTGAGAAATATAAGGTGATTTGATGATAAATATTTGAATTCAAAATGTGGTTAAAATTTAATATTATTTTATTAATGGTTACTTGTACTATCAGCTTCATCATTTGGACGTCTTAAAAAAATAATATTATTATAATCAATCTATTTTTAGAAATAGTTAAATTTCTTTTATAAGATAGTAAAGATATATATATATATATATATATATATATATATATATATATATATATATATATATATATATATATATATATACACACACACACACACACCAAATTGTAGATGGTTTTAGGGATGAACATTTGGATCGGGGAACTGTCCGGAACCGGATAAAACTGATCGGGCCGGGTCCGAGACGATATTCTTGTGGATTTTTGGAATCGGTTGGAACCAGAACTGGTAGAACCGGAACCGATGGAACCGACAAAAACTGGTAGAATAGGCAAAAACTGGAACCGTATGTTGCTATTTCTCGAGGACCGGTTCCAACATTGAATACACGACAAAAACCGGTAGGAACTGGTAGAACCGGCGATCCGGTTCGGTTCTAATTTCGGCTGACTTCGGTTCCGGGCCGGTTCCGTTTCGGGCCGAGTCAGTTCATTTACTCATCTCTAGATGGTGTGATCAATCTGCGAATGCTCTACGTTCCATCTATGATTTGCTGTTTTTTTCTTCTAAATAGTTAAGTTTAACTACGAATTTGTTAAGGAACTGTTAAATCTGATAGTGTTAACTATGAATTCATATAATTACTAGATTTTATCATGTTTTCGGGAAAATACATAACTTTGTCCATCTTTCTTGGTAAATGTTACATTCAAAGAGTTTTTTCAGATATAAACTTAGAGCATACGGTGTGGGTCGTGTTGCTTCTTGTTGTGGTGCTTCTTGTCTCCATGACAAAAAGAAATGTGATCACCTATTGGCTGCCAAATTATCTCTTTCTATCTCTTTCCTCTTAACATGGTGTTATAATACCATGAACACCACCCCCTAATCTTGTTGCTTCTTGTTATAACACCATTTCAAGTTGTCCATACCATATGCTCTTATAAAGTAGAAAAATGAGTGTTTCTTTTTCTTTTTTAATAGACTTTTATACTTCAAATATGAAAATTATAGACGGGCTTCTCTGAAATGGCAATAAGATTTCCTTCTCAAATGTACAAGCTGTTGATGTATATCCGTGCATTGAAGGGTTGTACTTTCGCAAATGAACTAAAGACATCGCAGATGATCCTAAATCACTAGCAATTTCAATGGTTAATTGGTTAGTTTGTGTAATTTGTTAATTTTTGGCTATTTTTTACAAATAAATTCGGCTGTTTTAATAAATTTCTAAGAAAAAAAAAATTGGCATAAACGATCAAAACATAGAGACATAAAGAGTTAAGAAAGAAAAGTATAGGAAAAGTTTCATTTTTGACTTGATTCACGGTGACCACTCCGTCGTACCCTACCGTCAAAAAACTGAGATGTCAATATACTAAATATGACACCGCTCCTTGTTGCCTTACCCTTACACGGCAGAATTCGCTTTTGGTAATTTCTTGCAGGACTGTTTCTTACCCTCTTATTACGGTGGTGCGTCTCCGTTAAACGCCATTCTTACTCCTCCGATTTTACTTCGTTCCACCGCCATTTCCTACCGTGATACACTGTATCTCCACCAGGTAGTTTTTATCTGCTCAGATCGTCGTTTGTTACTTGTTTTTCAAATAATTTGCTGATACCGCAAGCATATCACTGTTTTTTTTGGGTTGTCATCTTTTCGAAGCTTCTACTTCATGAAAACTCATCTTCGTTTGATCTTTACGTTTTTTACGTCAAATTTATCTCTAACAGAAATATTGATCTTGGTGTTTGAGAATTGCTCGCATTCAAAACCCCTGATTAGGGTTTTTAAGTGTTTGAGAAGTACATCAACAGAAGTTAGAGGTCCTATAACATACTAACATTGTCATTTCTCATCCGATCATTGATTCTTTCGAAAATCATTCATCAACTGATGGTCAGTAAATAAACGCACAGATGCGATGCTATTTCTAACTGTCTTTTGAGTTGCAGATGAGTTCCAAAAGAGGAGGTGGTCAGCCTAACAGAGGCGATGGCAACAAGCCTTCATCCAAGGGTAAAAACATAGCCGGTGGTTCTAGCTATGATGTCGATCAGTTGAATCAGGCAGTTCTAGATGTGAATCTGGATCCAAACCAAGGTGGCAGTTGGGAGGTCATCTCCAAAAAGAATAAGAACAAAACCGGAAATGGTGGTCCTTCCAAACAGCAGGCTGCCCGGATTCCCAACCCACCAGATACCCAAAGAACCAGTGGCCGGGGCAATGGTCAGGTCAGGGCTTCAAACAACACATGGGCAGCAGCTCAAACAGGCGGAAGAGGTGGAGGTGGTAGCAACTACAACTACAATGTTGCTTCAAATACAATTCCTCCACCTCTTCAGAGTGGATGGAATTGGAATGCTAGGCCAGCCAATGCATGGCGATTAGGAAATGATGCTGGGAGGAGGGAGAATGCTCCAGAAGTTGTTATCCAGGAAGATGTTGAAGATCAACATGACATTGGTGAGATCAATGAATCTGATGATGATGATGATGATGAAATTTTGAGTGATGGGTATGATTTAGATGAAACCCCAAAACCCCATGAGTCCCGAAAGAAGAACCAATGGTATTCCGACTTTTTCGAAACTTTGGACAGTCTAACTGTGGAGCAAATCAACGAGCCAACCAGACAATGGCATTGCCCTGCATGTCAAAATGGTCCAGGTGCCATTGACTGGTATCGCAGCCTCCCTTCTCTCGTGACACATGCAAAAACAAAAGGGTCAAAAAGAGTCAAAATTCATCGCGAACTTGCTGAAGTTTTGGAGGAAGAGTTGCGTAGAAGGGGAGCTACAGTGGTAGCAGCTGGTGAGTCATATGGTCAATGGAAAGGTCTCAATGAAGTTGTGAAAGATAAGGAAATCGTGTGGCCACCAATGGTTGTCATCATGAATACACAGCTCGAACAAGATGAGAATGAAAAGGTATGTTATATGTTACAATATGAATATCTTCACTTTCTTTAAAGTTTAATCAGTTTATGTAAAACACTGACACTAGAATTATGAAACAACTATTGTGGATCAGTGGCTAGGAATGGGGAATCAAGAGCTTTTGGACTACTTTAAGGATTATGAAAAGGCTGTGAAGGCGCGCCATTCTTATGGTCCAAAAGGACATAGAGGAATGAGTGTTCTGATATTTGAATCCTCCGCGGTGGGGTACACGGAAGCTGAGCGACTCAGCAAGCATTTTGAAAATGAAGGTACGGACCGAGATGCGTGGGATCAATCCCACCGCCGCATTCTGTTTTACCCTGGTGGTCAGCGACAGCTGTACGGGTACATGGCAACAAAACGAGATTTGGATTTCTTCAATCAACATTGTCAAGGTCCTTTTGTTACTTTTCCAATTCCATTCGTTTGTCAATTCCATTCCATGGTTCTTACTTCTGAACATGAACATGCATGCGGTTTGTGATTTGTGTAGGGAAATCGAAGCTGAAATTTGAGTTGGTTTCTTACCAAGAGAGGGTTGTGAATGAGTTGAAGCAAATGAGTGAGGACAACCAACAGCTGATTTGGTACAAGAACAGGATTGCTAAAGAACAAATGCATTCGAAAGCACTTGAAGAGTCGTTTACTTTGGTGTCTCAGAGGCTGAGGAAAACCGAAGAAGAGAACCGAATTGTGAGGGAGAGAACACAACGTTACCATGAAGAAAACAAGGAAGCGGTAACTAGTTAGATACTAATAAGTTAGATAAAATGATATTACATGTTTGAAGAAACCAATTTTTTCATCTCTTCTGTTTCAGATGGATTCTCAAGAACAGTTCTTTAAAGACCAGCTGAAGATAATCCAAGATGCTCGGAATGCAAAAGAAGGCAATTTTGATAAGCTGCAGAGGGAAGAGCGCATCAGGGTTGAGCAATCTTATTCAGTGGTAGATCCTCAGAAGAGGTATTGAGTATTGACATTGTTTGTTGGGTGATATATCTTTGTTCTGAAATTACAATGTTGTATCGAATCTGATGTAATTAATGTTATAATATGAATGAACACAAACACACAGGGATGAGAAGCTTGAGGCAATGAAGGAATTTGAGGAAGAGAGGGAGAAGCTGATGAAAAGGCTTGAGGAGAAGAGGACTGAAATGAAGAGAAGGCACTGGAAGGAGGAGATCGACTTGGAGGAAGGTTTTAATGCTGAGTTGACTCGGTTGATGGAGAAGTACACTCCTAAAGATAAAATGGAAGGCTGAGAGGTAAGAATTAAGATCAAGAGTTGAGATGAATATCTGAGCATTTTACTGAAAGACTTTTAATTGAACGTTGAGGCATTTTATATTATAAGTGTAATTGAAGTTTACACATTAATTAAAGTTGTTGAATTGTTGTCTTGAAAATAAAATATAATATTACTTATTACTTGGTTGGGTGGTGATTGGTGAATGTTGTTTTGGTGGTCTTTGTTTTATTATGCAAGTAAAAACCACAAATTGAGGGTTCTTTTCCTTAGCGTAACAGCATAAAGTAAAATTTCAGAAAGGGACTTTGCTAACAATAAAAACGGTATAAAGTTTATTTATTCATAATTTTTCTGATCATATTAAAAAAAAAATTATTTTTTAGTTTGGTTTTATGGGTTTTGAATTTGGTATTGATTGTGCAACTTCGGCTGGAAAAAGAATATTGATGATAGATCTGTAGCGAATAATTATTTTAAGAGATGATATACATATTACATGGATCCTGGAACCATCAAATGTTTGTAAATCAGTTTTTACATCATGAAGAAAAGAAAATAAACAAACATAGTAAATACGTTAGGTTTAAGAATAACAAATGTTGCAGCGAATCACTTAATAACAGAAAGGTAAAAAAGTATTGGTCCAAAAATCAAAATAAAGCAAGTTATTGATAGGAATATTAGTTACAACCACATAGAATGAAATTAACATAGATAAAAGAATCGGTAACCACATAGAATGAAATTAACATAGATAAAAGAATCGGTAACCACATAGAATGAAATTAACATAGATAAAAGAATCGGTACACAACGTTATAAGATATGGACTGTGGAAAGAGTAGATATTATAAAAGTATAAGCTTTACAAAGATATGTTTCCATAAGGAATAATAAAGAAGTTATCAAATAAAACATCATTGTTATTGTTATAAAATAAACTAGGCTCTCTATTAATGTAGGAAAGTGTAATAGAATAACCAGATGAACACTACGAGATAAAGTGGAAAACCCTAAAACCGAGAAAAACCACTATGAAATGACACTCTTAATAAAATGTTTCATTGTTGCTAAATCTCTAAGGAATAAAGGATAGAAAAAAATGTTGGAATGAATAAATAAGATATCTAATGACTTTATATAATAGCCTTACAAAGAGTGGTATACAAACCCTAAAACCCTTATAAATAAGAAACATTCCTAAATGAATATAAGATGTTATAATCCAAGAATAACTCCTACATATAATATAAAACAAATAATAAAAGGGTTTCAGAATATATTTAACAATTATGATCTACATCTATCATAATTTCGCATTTCTTTGACCTTGTCTGAATTTCCTAACTTGTAGCAAGGCACAGATGAAAATAAAGTGGACTTTTCCTTCATCCTTTCGATGCTAAACAATACAAAGACCTCTTGTTTGTTTTTTGTTATAGTATCATCTTATGTGATAGAAAACCGCAATTTGTTAATTTAAAATGAAGGATATCAACCTCAAGAAACTAGAAATGAGATCAAGAGAAGAAAGAGGGAAATGACAGGTCGGGGTCGGGGGAGAGAAACCCAACCACATGTTAATGGTTGCATATTAGTGGCAGGTGGCGACACGATGAATCAAGTAGTGGCCAAATTGGTCTCTTCTTGGTTTGGACATGATTTGGATTGAATTTGATGAACTTTCAAGCTTTGTCATGTCAACAAAACTCTTGATAGGTACGGTATGTATTCCCCAATTTTGTGGGAATTTTGCTATGGATATCTATCGTTTCACTGAAAGAAAGTCAAATGTTTATTGAAAGAGAAATCATGTCACAAGCAGAAAGGAACATAACATAATGATTGATATAAGGATATGAGCAACATAACAAGTTATCTGTTTTCAGAACCGGAACGGCCACCGGTTCCGGAATAGGATTCGCTGCAAGCGGGTTTTGATTCATGTTCCTAAATATTGGAACCAATCAAAACTGGTTCGGTTTCGGTTCTTACCTTTTTGGAACTTGTGTATTCGGTTCTGGAACCGGAATAACCAAAAACCGAAAGAGATAAATCCTAGTTACGAAGATCAGATTAAGGAAATTGGTTCCGGTTCGGTTTTGGGGCATGTTATATAGGTTTTGGAACATGTTACGACTGAAATTACTTGGCTCATCGTGATGGAAATGGAAATAACCGAAAAATTGGGATTTAAAAAAAAGAAGCAACCGATCAAAATGACTTAAAATGACAATCAATAATAGAAAATTTGTTCTTTATGTCACTAAGTTTTTAATTGGATCCAATAACGAAACAAACTTTTTATTTTGGTTTTAAAATACCAACAATTACGATTTTTATTGATTGAATGACAACGAACATCGTTATTGCCCTTACCACATCTAACTGAAAGGCTCTTGTAATATTTTTTTTCAAACTACAATCGATAATCATTAACAAAGCCATATTATTTTGTGACATTGTCATTTTAATCGGTAAAAATCTATGTAGTTGAAGTTATAGTTTGAGAAAATGGACTATAATAAGCTATTATTTAGACATGACAAAAGCAATGACGATGTTTGTTGTCAGTTTAATCGATAAAAATCGTAATTGTTAGACATTTTAAAACCATAATAAAAAGTTGTTTTGTTTATTGGATACAATTAAAAGTTTAGTGACCTAAAGAGCAAATTTCAGGTTATTGATTGTCATTTTAAATCATTTCCCCAATATAAAAAAAGCGCTAGCAAAGAACTAGAACAAAAAACCAACTACAAAGAGTTTAGATGAAATTCTAACCAATTAACCCAACTTAAAATTTTTTCACTATTTTTATTAGAATATCAAATAAACGAGAACTCACTAATAAAATAAAAAATGCAACTTTTCTTCATCCAACCTGTTCCAAACAACAAATCATTTTTAAATCTCCAAATGTACCCTATCAAAGTACACACAATAGCATCAATAGTATTCGTCTTCTTCGAATTCATGGCCAATTTATCAATAAAATAAAACAACCCTTGCACCCAATCAACCTCTATTGGTGAATATCTATCCACTTGAACACTCTATCCAAACTTTACATTTAACAAAAAGGTGACCTAATTGTTCCCCTTATAAACAAATAAGACACAAAATATATCAATTCCTCTATAATCAATCTTGTGTCCAGTAGGTATTTGTTTTTTCTAAAAGAACACACCATATCATAATATTAACTTTTTTTAGGAACAAAAGATTTCCACCTCGTTAACCTTCCCAATCTTGGAAGAATAACATCATCAATCCATCTTCTATCACCAACCGTGAAGCACTATTCTCAATAATCTCCCACCATCATCTATCCTAGGATAAGATAAAGACACATCTCCATGACTATTCATCAAAATCGTGAACTACGTAAGTTATTCCCCGCCACGAATATAATGATGTCATCTCTAATTCCATCTACCATCCACCATTCCATCAACAACATAAAAATCTTTATTTAACTCTAGATCATATAGTCTAGGTAAAGTATTCAATAGTTTTTGCTTACCAAACCAAATATCCTTCCAAAACTTAGTATCCATACCATTTCCAGTTTTCTTCCGTTAGACCGACTCCATCAACACCCGTTGATTGCAAATTTGAGAGGTATAAGCCACAATCTGAGACCACGACCTGCTCCCAAATTCTGATTCCCACCTTGTTGTAACCTACCTTCGACCCTATGTAAATCCTTGAACATCTTGACACAAAGCATGTCATCATTGTTCAAAAATCCACCTCCATTTTTGAAGTAAAGCAACATTAAGAGACACCAAACTACCAATGTCTAAACTTCCATGACTTTTAGAAGCAATAACCGACTCCCACTTAGTCCATGTCATTTTTTAGTTTTCCTCATCACCACCCCAAAAAAATGAAACACAAAGATTCTAATTTCTTTTCCATTGTAATCGACATAAAAAAGAAAGACATGAAATATATCCCTACAGAACCCAACACTTATTTTAAAAACGTAGTGTAATACCCAGTTTTAGGTAAGTACTTCGGTTGAGTTATCAGTTAAAATTTAAGGATATAACCTTGTTCATGACGTGAGCATTTGTGTGTTGCGATGTGACCGTGCCCAATTAACATGCATCTCATTTGGGTTGTCATGACGTGACCACATGTGGGCCACGACGTGATAGCCTAGCGATCCAAAACCCTAATTTTTGGGGTTATCCCCCTATTTAAGGGAAGTGAGGGCTAGTGTTTTCTCACCCTTAGCCTCCATCACCTCTATTCACCTTCCAAGAACCCTAATCTCCGTTTTGATCCTTAAGATCCATTTTTGGGTGATGTCTAGCCAACAAGAAGAATGATACTGTTATCAACTACAACTACAATCCGACCATAAATGCAATTCATCCACCTCTTCAGAGGGGATGGAATTGGAATGTTAGGCCAACCAATGCATGACGATTAGGAAATGATGTTAGGAGGAGGGAGAATGCTCCAGAAGTTGTGCATAAAGATGTTGTTGAAGATCAACATGACATTGGTGAGATCAGTGAATCTGTTGATGAAGAAGATGATGATGATGAAATTTTGAGTGATGGGTATGATTCAGATGAAACCCCAAAACCCCATGAGGCCAGAAAGAAGAACAAATGGTATTCTGACTTTTTTGAAACTTTAGACAGTTTGACTGTGGAGCAAATCAACGAGCCAACCAGACAAGGACATTGTCCCACATGTCAAAATGGTCCAGGTTCCATTGCCTGGTATCGCAGCCTACCTTCTCTTGTGGCACATGTAAAAACAAAAGGGTCCAAAAGAGTCAAAATTCATGGCGGTCTTGCTGAAGTTTTGGAGGAAGAGTTGCGTAGAAAAGGAGCTACAGTGGTAGCAGTTGGCGAGTCATATGGACAGTGGAAATGATTGAATGAAGTTGTGAAAGACAAGGAAATCGTGTGGCCACTAATGGTTGTCATTATGAATACACAACTCTAACAAGATGAGAATGAAAAGGTATATATATGTTTTCACTTTCTTTAAAGTTTAATAAGTTTATGTAAAACGTTGACACTAGAATTATGCATCAACTATTGTCGATCAGTGGCTAGGAATGGGGAATCAAGAGCTTTTGGACTACTTTAAGGATTATGAAAAGGTTGTGAAGGTGTGCCATTCTTATGGGCCAAAAGGACATAAAAGAATGAGTGTTTTGATATTTGAATCCT